TGCCAAATTCTCATGCATATGTTATTTTTTTCCTAATGCGAGGAAAGCAATTTATAATGCTAAAGCCGTAGTGAAAAAAGATTTTTTTTCTATATGGAGAGCTCAAAGTAATCCTATTTAGTTTACTATGGCCATTATAACTTTTCAGTATTTAGCATATATTAATCATTTTCTATTACGAAGCATTTTGATAATACACAAATCTTGCTCGAAAGACTGTACAAAAGGAATGTTGTAACTTTTAATTTAAACATTGCCGGAAATAATTTAAATAAAAACAGCTGAAAAATTTTTCTGATAATACTCATAACAATCGTTAAGACCTTAAAGGCAAATGTTTGAGAACGAGGTAACAATCTATTTCTTACCCTCAGAGAAAATCATTTCATAAATATGCCATGTGGGTTGGAATGACAGATAATTTCCCATTACATTAATGGGCTCCAACAAAAGAACACATAATCTGAGATGCTGTAAAACACAGATAATTTCCCATTACATTAATGGACTCCAACAAAAGAACACATACTCGGAGATGTTGTAAAACACAGATAATTTCCCATTACATTAATGGGCTCCAACAAAAGAACACATACTCTGAGATGCTGTAAAACAGTCTTCAAGCCTCAAATTCCCTTTTGTCACTTACATCCGTTTTGTCTTTCTCGGTGAGAAAGTGTCCTGAGCTCCCAGATGTACAACTTACTTGGGACACACATGCCTCAGCCCTGTGAAAAGGTTAAAAGGTGTGATACCATTACGAAGGTCAACAGAAAGCAAAATGGCTCATCATATAGCTAGCCAGGAAGCAAATAAAAATGCAACTGCCTGAATTTTAAAACCAGAATATGCTTGACGCAAGTTTAGCTAGTCACTGACTGACCAGTTTATCAGCAGAAAAATCATTTTATATACTATCAACGAAGATTGTAACAGTTTAATACACAATGTGATTCAAATTCCCCACACAAACTTTAACGGAAGTTCTAGAATAAACCAATAAACAATATTTGTGCAGGAAGATGTCTGGAAATGCCACCAGTGATAATAGAAGTAAATAAATAAGGAAAAATAATGGAATATGAAGAAAATACTACATGTTTATCATGCATATGCTAGTAGAATGAGGTGTACAAGCACACAGATGTTGTTAAAGTTCCTCTGCCAGCAGTGATACACATTTTACAAACTTGATGCATAAATCAGGAAACCTGTGTAAAAATGTCACACCACTTGTGCTGCCTCATCAGCTTTTATGAGAAAGTAAGCATCAAATTCAATGAAGATCTTGCAGACGGTCATCAGGTAACCCCAGGGAAAGAAGTCCAGAGGAAAAGGAGGGAAATATGGCTGATTTTGGACGAACTGATTTGCATTGACTGTTGTGCCAGTAAAGTTATGTTTCTATACTCCTACAATTCAGTGTTGAAACATGCAGAAGCAAAGTCAGGCTGTTACTTCATATGGCAACAAACAACTGCAGAAGCATTGAGCAACATTCCCAGCAAGACTTCCTCCAAGAAAATCTCTTATCCTATCCCACCGAGTGACCCAATCCTTATATCGAATGCAAATATCTAAATCATATTATTGTGACAATTTTTAGATCAATAATTTCCATATTCCAAGCATATATTTTTTACATAATCTGTAATAGTATGAGGGAACCTAGCTACATGAAATATTCTTTGTCACAGGATTAATGTAAAAATTTTTGTTTCATATATTTCTACTAAAAGCTGGGCTATAACCCAAATTGTCAAACTCTTACAGCTTAAATTATCTTGTTAAATTTAAATTTGAAACTATGCAGTATGAAATATGTATAACATGCATAAGATTTTCACAGTTATGGAAAAAAGCAAAGTATCAATCTAAATATAGTCAAGTTTTAATGAGCCAAAAATGAAAGAACTTTTCCTCACAAAAAAAGAAAATAACCTAAAACTCAACCTTGAATTAGTTCGATTTTTGAAATGCATGCTTTGATATTCACTTTGACTTAGAATTGAATTATTAGTTCCGAAGCCTATTTCATTGACAATTCTGACTTAAGTTCATGTAATCGAAGTTTTAGTGTACTAATTTGTGTTTGATTACTTGCCATACAATGTATGGCAAATAATAAATCAGAGGGGTTTAAAAAATAAGTTAAAGAACTTTTTGCCTTAATGCAAGTATAAAATGTAATGAAAGAGAAGGCTTGCAGAGGGCTACTTTGGGCATGCTAGTACAGTAATTCCTTTTTTCCTTTTGTCTCTTCTGAATTAAAAAAAAAAAAAAAAAAAAAAAAAAAAAAAATTGAGAGACAACTTTAGTTTTTGGTAAAAGAAAATAATCTCAAGGAGACAAATCTGGAAAATATGTGAGAGGACTAAGTACACATACTTATTTGAGGACAGAGTGGCTCTGAAAAGTGGTTATTGGTATCAGTGGAAAGATTCATTATCATGGCAGTATAATAGTTTCCAACTGAATAACATTAAAATTAAATACTGTTTACTTAATTATCAGCTATTTATGTCACCTACTCAGCCAAACATTCAAAACTGCAGCATTGTTTTGACACCTCAGGTTGTAAGACAAACCTAACGTCATCTAAACATTTGTTTAATCTTGCCAAATGAATAATGCAAGGAGATAATCATCCCATCTTTAGCTTAGATTCCAAGTGAATACAGTAATTACATACATATCTGAATGTTTATTTGCACTATGGCTTGGTAGTTTAAAAGCCGACTTGTTAACAAAACAAACTTTTGTTTTGTGTGCCTGAGAATATAGCAATATTTTAAATTAATACCAAATAGTAAATTACAGACTAATAACCTGGCCCCTAATTTAAGTGGTTCGACCTGTGACCAAGCAGTTCAATACCACTGAATAATAGTAATTTCTTTTGGAGTTGAACCCAGGCAAATGAGATGGCTGCATGGTTGGCTTTCATGAATTCTCCCATGTGCAACGTGAATACAAGCCACTTTTCCTTACATAAGTCCTCCATGAAGAAATTCCTCCCCTTAGCTGATAGCTTCCATGTGCTCTGCCATATTTAAATAACCAACTAACCTAATATATGCATGATTTTTAAATGCACATTTCTAAACTAAGAAAACAGAAACTCACTGTAAAAGAGTGTAGTTATCCAATCAGAAGGCATATGATAGATAGATACAATGCCAATGGTTGAATTGCTAGTAATTTTTTTCTGATCTTGGATTGTCACTTGCTAGTCAAACTCACTTTATTTGCACTGGCAGAGCTGACAAAAAGAGAAGTGCCGGTGTTAAAGCTTTTATTGATATAAAATATGCAATATGTCCACAGATTACATGAAAATTTATTATGCATTTAGTGTCACGAAATCTTTGGACATAAAACATTTCCAGAATCATTTTTATTTGCTTTTGTGACACACAGAAATGAAGATAAAAATATTTTATTCTAGCATATTTTCACTCTGTTAAAGATTTCTGTAGTAGAACAAAGCATGTTTTATATATAATATTTTTGATGTACTCAGAAACATTAAATACATATATAATGCAAATTTTGAAATCTACAAAACAAATTCTGCATATAAAATGAGGTTAAGTAAAATAGCAGACTATAATACGCCAAAGATAAAATTTTACGCTTATGAAAGAAAAAATAACAACTTTGGTTGAAATAAAATTATCAATATGTCCACAGAGATGCATCAAATTTATTATGCATTTAATGTCATGAAATATCTTTAGACTTTGTTCAACATTCTTTACAAATTAAAAAAAAAACTTTTGCATCTATTACCAATAAATATTGATTAGCTATTATTAATAAAAAGGAGGAAAAAAAATTCCGTGTGAATAATCCTCAGTAAAAGTTTATTTGAAAATTAAAGGTTCCAATTAACAGTTGCAAGTCACTGAAGATTGTGATATAGTACGTAAACCAATATGGCGTTATTAACACTTATAACAAATATTTCAAATTCTAAAACATGCCATTATATAAATTCATGTATAGCTTGGTTGAAATTTTGAATAAAAACTTAATTTTTGCAGGTATTCTTAGAAATACATCTATTTTAAGGTGATGGTAAAATTTTTAAATAAGTAAACAACTGCAAATTTTATTTGGATTGAACCTAAATCTTGAACTGTGAAAGAAAAAATCACGTTTAATGGGGGGGGGGGGAAGATATCAATAAATATATACCAAATTCAATTAGTATTGAGGAGCTAAAATTTTGAGAGCTAATTTTTTAAAAACTATTCATGCAGTTTTTACAAAACTTAGCACTTAGCATAATCTCAATTGCAGAATTGAAATACGGGAAAAAAATGGTAGGACATTAAAAAAAAAAAAAAAGCAGTCTGATTTTGGGGAAATATCCATGTTAGAACAATACTATATATAAATCTAATATGTATTCTAAATGGTGGTTTCAAGAAATGAAAAATGCAAGTTAAATTTCGTCAAGCCCAGTAGAAGGGAGATATCGAACTCCCCCCCTTTTTTTTGTGCAGCGTACCTTGAAAGAAGTAATTTTAAATTCTATTGTGTTAAGTCAGCTATATAGACATATTAGCCTGACTAAAAGAGAGCCTTTTATCCAAGAATGATTCTGCATTTTATTGGTGTTTCACAAAGAAAGAACAAAAGGTAAAAACACAAAAATGTAAAAATGTAAAAACACAAAAAAAGATAACACTGCATGTTTCAGCTTGATATATTGAAGCTGTTCTTTAAGAAAGATAACTAAATGGTGTGAATGCCATATCTGAGGTTAAAATGACACCAAATTTTTCTTTTCATGTAAAAGTTAAGGAAGAAGTGCTAAATTATCTCAGTATATTTTTCTTAGATTGTGCCAGATGAATGCAATTTTCAGATTTCCACGTGGAAAGCATTGTTTTATATTCCAGCCAATATGATAGTTAACTACTTATTCTAACTTTGTTTCAAAAAGGAAGTCACAAATAACAAATACACAACGAGATACAAAGCTTGCATACCTTTAGCATGAGGGGCAATTGTTATCTCAATGGCTGGTAAATTAACAAACAAATCATACAGCTCCATTCTTCCCTCTACTCCTGCATCTCTAAATCCTGCTACATATGTAGGTAGTGAAAGCAATTCAGAAATTTCATTATTAGTCAACTGCATGTAAGGATATATTATGCTCCAGTCTTGTCTGTGCCACACAAATGCTGGAAGTGCCCTGTTAGTACAATACATAAAATATTAGCACATAAAAATCTTTTTTGGTGCACATCAAAATGAAGAACACAAAAAGTTTCATTATAATTATCAAATCAGCAGTATGCATATACCATGGTAAATATTCCACAACGTCATTTATTCCTGAAAGTCCTTTAACAGAAGATGTAGAAAACTTTCTAACCTTACAAACCAAAGCAATGTATCCAAGCCATGATGATAAACAACAATGCGCTTTTTTAATAGCAGAGCTGTATATATGAGTATTGTCTCAAGGCCAAAGGTTTTTACAACATCTGAAAAAAAAAAGAAAAAAAAAAACTTTTACTTTATTTTTAGTATCAAGGCTCTCTTGCATAAAAAATAAAATTAACATTATGCTTTTTGGCATTTCAAAATTTAAACTGCAAGATACATTTTCTTGATACTGTGTTCTTGATAGACTAAACAATGGACATCTCTACTGAACAAACATGAAGGAATAAATTCCTAAAATATCACCGACGTGCTACATACTGGTTGCTCATTAAAATGGGAAGTCAATCTGAGTGCCTACAAAAATCAATCAACTTTCAAATGAAAAGAGCTAAAGTATAGGCACTTTATGTATTGATACAATAGAGTTTCCCTATGAAAATCATAGACAACAAAATTCACATGCTAGCAGTCCAGTCTATGGGCTCACAGAGCAATCATATCAGAAATCTCAAAGAAATTTTTACTTTGTAAACATACTTTTTCTACACAATGAAAATTCAAACTACAAATTCTTTTTTTTTTTTTTTTTTCACTTTCTAGTTTTCTAATAATTTAACGCTCTTCCTTCATTGAAGAAAATTGCAGAATTTTAATCTAAATTTCTATAGAAACAAACATTTATTAATTTGAGTGAAAGTCTGGAAACTACTGAACAATAAAAAACAAATATAAGTGTGACCAGGAATTTTTTTCTGTTAGTTTTGTTGATATAACAGCAAATAGGAAATAAATTAAAAAATATACATATCCATCAGCAATAAAGGCGATGAAAAATATGGGTACTTATGCATTATCCTGTCAACCCTGAAACTGTCACCAAACAGCATGGTTTATCACCAGTTATGGGCAATGCACTCATAACATTTGCGATTTCATTTGATATAACCCTAACTGATTCTCTAATAAATGAATAAATAAATATCTGTTATGATAAATATCTGTAGAATGGGGGAAAAAAAAAAAAAAAAAAAAAAAAAAAAACTGCATAAGGCCTGATCAAACAGCCACAGATTGGAACTGCATTATTCACAGTTGTTCTAAACAAAAATTTCAAATCGGGAGGTCCTGACAAAATGGTAGAAATTGCCAAAATCTTTTCAACAGAGTGAAAAAATTAAGTACGCCGAATACTTCCGCAGCAATGGCAGTTTGACAGATTGTGCAGAGTGACTGACGTATGTTTTATTATAAGAGTTGCAGACCAAAGTGAGGCTCAGAATTCCACAGGAACGACTGGTGCAAATTTGGTGGGATCTTCACCAGCTCTTATGGTTCAATGGTAGCCAACTTACCAAAATATGAATTTAATCACTGGGTGTAGTAATGTGGCAAGGTACTGTAGTGATGTACTATTTTAATAATTTTTCATTTACATATTTTAAAAAAAAGTTTTATATGAATTGACAATAATTAATGTCAAATAAAATTGAATTAAAAATTAAATGCAATAAAACATACACTATTAACGAGTTATATCTTGTTTCACACATGAGAAAAACAATGAATCACACATCGGGTTTTAACAGAAATTTTTACTGTTGGAATTTTGAAATGAACCTGAAAAGAAAAATTCTAACGAGTATGAGTTTCACAAATTAAAAATTATGATTAAATTTATGTAAATGATATCCAGTTAAAATTAACAAACTTTCTCCTAGCACAGATATGTTCAATACTAATTTATTAATATCATTACTTCTGTAAAACATTGATAAGTGAGTGATCCTTATAAATCATTTTAGTTTATTTCATTTTCATACAAGTCTCTATCTGTAAACTTTTCATTGAAAAAGGCCAGTCTGTCTTTAAAACTACAATATAATTAAAATTTGCATAATCTTAAATAAAATCAGCAGCTAGCTTTTCTGAGAAAACTGTTCAACTTGAAACTTTCAGAAATATAACAAAGGCTTCATTAAAATCAAAACACTATTTTATACAGTAAGAGAAACAAGCTAAAAAAATTTCATTATTTTTCAAAATAAACTTTACGTATTATTTAGGAAAGTGCAAAATGTGTCACAATACTTTCATTACTATATATATTAAACAAACTTCACCTATACACATATGTTTTTAACAGATCTCACAAAAAGTTTAATTGAATATTCTGCCATATAATATAAATTTTTATCACAATTTTGCTCATGAAATAACAAAAACTTTTTAGACTTATTTCTATTGAAAGAAAAGATGAAATGAAAACTACTTAGGAAAGTAAAGATACTCTTAAACAATACAGAATGACTTAAAAAGGTTTTAAATTTAAACTTGAAGATTATAAAATTAAGATATGGAAATTTAATACAAATTATTGTTAGTGTAAATATGAATTGGGAAGAGATTAATATGAAAAAAAGACATATGAAGTTCTGTGTAAAACGATAAATAAAATAACATAAGCATATTATATCCTTTTAATACATTCATTATTATGAATCAGGTATCTTGTCTTCATACTCGCTTAGCGCCTAGAGACGAGATAACTCATCCTCTATACAAGGTTTTTCTATATTACTGCAGCATGTGCAGCGATATTTTTTAAACTTTTTGGTGCATCCCAGTTCATATTAATTTATCTCAAAATTTCTACTAGATGGTGCTACACTTATAACTTTTAGAGTTTTACGAAATTTTTGTAACTGTGCAAACTGCTTTGCACTTTTGTTACGCTTCTTGCATGTTATACATACTTGTTCTACTTTTCAAAAAATAAATGTTTTTTTTCAGCTGCCGAGACAAAATATCTTAATTTACCTGATAAAGAGCTTGTTAATGAATCGACTCAGATCAGGAAACATGTAAAGTTACTGATCGTGTTTGTGATTAAAGCACCAGAGATAAAAAGTCATGATGCCAAAATACAGAAGGAGATGAAGTAAAAATGGATTCACTTCAGTTTGCCACAGGCTTGAATATAGATTTTGATATAAAAACAAAAAATAGTTCAGAAAGTAGCGAAAGTGAAACTGATGACTCTCAAGTAGCTTCAAGGTCATATGAATAGCATAAAATTGGTATGAATTACATGCCAACTAACAGCATTTTTAAAGGCAAGATGGACATTAATTTATTTATCACTATTGAAATTGTACAAATCAATGTATCAGAAACCAACATATATGCAGAGCAATGTATACATGAATCAACAACCACATCAAAAGAAGTCGTGCACTTCTTTGGAAATGAACTGATGCTGCAGAAATGGAGAAATTTTTTGGACTTACTTTTGCAATGGAGCTTATCTGGATACCTTGTCTTGAAGACTACTGGTCAAGTGATTCAGTGTTCACAACAATCCTTTCTAGCAATACAATGGCAAGTGATTGAATAAAACTCTTACTTAAGTTTTGGCAGGCACTTTAGAGATAATGAACATCAATTAGAATAGACTGCACAAAATGCTAAAGATCTGTGATGTTCTCCTGGATAATTTTCATAAAATTTATACACAAGGTACGAAATTTTTAATAGATGAGTCGACAGCTTTGTCATGAGGAAATCTTCAACAATATATTCCAAGCAAACCACACAAGATGTAAAACTTTACATGCTTTGTCAGCCAAATGGTTACATATGGAATGTATCTGTGTATTGTGTACAATGGATACTATGTTTAGATTAGGCCTGTAGAAAACATGAAAATGGTTTTGATGGAAAAGCTTCTAAACAAAGGAAACACATTACAAAGGCAGATAGTTACAACACAAATATTCCTCTGACAAATTAGCTCCTTGAAAAGAAAATGTTATGTGAAACACTGCAATCATTTAGAAAATATCCAGAAAGCATTGTAAAGTTGTGATGAGATGCAAAGAGAAGCATTCAACTGACACTCGTAAAACGAAGACTTCAGACAAAAAGAACCGAAAAAGGGAATTTGTCATCAAGTTAAATTATAATCCAAATTACAATAAACATGCATGACATCGACAAAATTGATAAACTGCTTTCCTATTACTCATCACTGTAGAAATTACTTAAATGGTACAGAAAGTTTTGTTTCAAAATTTGGATATGGCAATTTCTAATTCTTTTGTCTTGTATACCAAAGTCAGTAAAATGCAACCTCAGATCTAGATTGAAATGAAATAATACATTTGCTACTAAATTTTAGGAAATGCAGGAACAGAGTTCCTAGAAATTATTTCACTTCTCTTTGCATCTCATCACAACTTTACAGTGCTTTCTGGATATTTTCTAAATGATTGCAGTGTTTCACATAACATTTTCTTTTCAAGGAGCTAATTTGTCAGAGGAATATTTGTGTTGTAACTATCTGCCTTTGTAATATGTTTCCTTTGTTTAGAAGCTTTTCCATCAAAACCATTTTCATGTTTTCTACAGGCTTAATCTAAACATAGTATCCATTGTACACAATAAGTCTTCTGATATGCTGCAAACGGAAGGTCAACATGACATGACACATGACAATGTTTTACTGTCATTAGACTTCATCAAAAGGTAATCAAAAATGTATAAGATTCACGAAACTTCAGCTAACAATTAAAACCAATTTTATTTAACATTCTAAAAATGGAAATCACATATCTCAAGAGACTAAATAATTTAATATTATCACACATGAGCTGATGCCAAAATCAGCAACTAACAGGCAAATAAAGGTGAGAGGTAGTTAGAATCATACAAAAAGTTCAAGTTTTTATCCTTGCACTATGATGAGCTCATATGCATATTGAGCAAAAGATGAATGTTGCCACTCACTACAATGAGGATTTCCACCATTGTAATCCTACTTCCACATTCTGGAGACACTAGAGGCCAGAGATATCCTGGATTAAACTTGACCCTTCTGCCAGAATGAGTAGTATATGCTTGTGGTGCTTGGTTGCCTGGCACAAGTATTTCAACTGTGGTGTTACTCTAAGAGTCTGCTCAGGAACAGAAACTGATGCTGGTTTCAAGTGATCAATAACAATCACAGATTCGTTTCCCTTAATAAGTGTAAAATGTTTACTAAACCTTTTCATTACTCTAAATTGGCCATCATACAGTCGAGTCAATGGTGGTTTCAGTG